CTGCTGCTGGTGCTGCTCCTGCTGCTGCTGATGCTGCTGTTGCTGCTGCACCCTGACCCCGTGAACACCCCAGAAGACCCTTCAGCGACACGCCTCGCCCCAGCAGCTGGCGGGCCTCCACCTCTACAACAGGCGCCGCTTGCAGCAGCAGCAGCAGCAGCAGCAGCAGCAACAGTGGGGGGTGCGCAGGAGCGCCTGTGTGCATCTGCTCTGGGCCCTCAGGTGCTAAGAGGTGTTGCAAAGAATCTTGAAAAGATATTAAACGAAAGAAGAGAGATGGGGCATCTACCAACTAGGGGCGTTCTGCTGCTAAACCCTAAACCCGAAACCCTAAACCCTCAACCGACAGGCTTTACAAGGTTTATTGATGGATTCTGGGGAAGCAGTGAAATAATTAAATGCACATAGAAACAACAGTTTTAAACGCATGTTTATCCAGTGATTTAAATGAAATGTAATGAACAAAAGGGTTTAGGGTTTAGGGTTTAGGGTTTAGGGTTTTATAGGGCGACAGGGGGAGAGGCAGAGCGGTGTGCAGGGTGCTTACAATACCTTCTATTGATGAGTTTTGTCGTTGTTTTCCCCGAAAATAGACTCAAAAAGAATGAAAAACATATAATTAATTACTAGGAGAGCACCACCAAACACAAAGACGCAATGCAGTCAGTAGCAGCAGCTGTACATACACCGCAGAGCGCTGCAGCCGCGTCTGCCTTCAGGGCTTTATAGGGAGAAGATAGTTTAAATATATTTAAAATCAATGTTTCTTTTGTTTTTGAATATTAATTTCAAGAAGTTTTAACCATATATATGTATATTTATATACACCCTCTTCGCCTTATCTTCCCCCGCCCCCCGTTACCCTCTTCTCTATTATATGTCAGACTCTTTCTATACATGCAGCTCTTCTTTGTCTTAATCTCCTTAGCATATATCTTCTCCCTAACTAATCGAATAATTTATGCTTTTTGTTATATTTAAACCTTCTCTCGGTGTCTGCATGCATGCAGCTCCTCCCCTTGATTAAACCCTAAAAGAGTTTTTATTGTTTATAATATATTACTTATCTTACTCCTTAACAAACAACTCCGCCTGTTTTGTATGCAAACGTCTGTGAGGGCTTGTTCATGCTGCTACTCTGCTGCTGCTTTAGCAGCAACGAAGCAGTAGAAGTGCCTGTGGGGCCTATGTGTGAATGGTTTCATTATACCTGTAGTTTAGGGTTTAGGGTTTAGGGTTTTGCATGCACAGGGGCAAATAGATTAATATTGATTCTATAGGAAGTAAATGAAGAAAACAGCACCATGTCTTTAAGTCTATAGAGAGAAAGAAGTCTTACACTGCGTACAGCAGTTCCTGCTGCTGCCTGCTGCTGCTTCTTCCTGCTGCTGCAGCAGCAGCAGCAGCAGCAGAATCAAGTGTAAGATTCCCTCGTGCAGCAGCACTTTGTTTTTTTATTGATGTCTATTAACAAGCAACAACAAAAACAAATAAGCAAGTCCTAAAGAGACAGCCACCGCGACCTCTATTTATTTAATTATATATTTCTCTACTCAGTTAGGCATTCATTTACAGAAAAACCTCTTCCAGCCAGTCGTCTGTTCTTAGACCCAAACAACATATATATATATATATACATATATATATATATATACATATATATTTTTATATGCATGTATGTTTGTATATATATATATATATGCATATATATATATGCATGTACATATATATTATCATACAGAATAACATACATAAGCACATATGCATATGTATCTATATTTATAGATCATACACAACATAATATATATATATTATATATATATATTATATATATAATATATATCTATATGTAGATATAATATATGTATCTATACATTATACGTCTCGTAGTTGTTTTATGAAAATGCATGCGTTGGTTTGTTTGTGCGTTTTGTCGCCTCAATTTAATAAATATGAAGACAGATAAAATAAAAACAGCAAATAGAAATTTAAACAGATATTAAAACAGAGACAGAGACAGAGACAGAAATAGATTAGAGACAGAAGTTTAAAAGGATATTAAGACACAGACAGAGACAGAAATAGACTAGAGACAGAAATATAAAAGGATATTAAAATAGAGACAGAGACGGAGGCAGAGGCAGAAATAAACTAGAGACAAAAATAGAAACGGAGATAAAAACAGAGACAGAAATAAACAGAGGAAGAGACAGAAATAGGGACAGAAATAGAAAAGGAGACAGAAATAGAAAAGGAGACAGAAACAGAGACAGAAAGTGACAGCAATAGAGACAGAAAGAGACAGAAATAGAGACAGAGACAGAAATAGTTTAGAGACAGAAATCGAAACAGCGACAAAAACAGAGACAGACAAAAATAGAGACAGAAATAAAGACGGAAATATATTAGAGACATAAATATATTAGAGACAGGAACAGAGAGAGAAATAAAGACAGAGACAGAAATAACGACAGAGACGGAAGCAAAACAGAGACAGAGACAGAAACAGAAAGAGACAGGGACAGAGACAGAGGGAGAGCAAAGGGCTGCATGCGAGAAAAAAGAATAATAACAAGAATAAGACAAGCAACAAGAAAAAGAGAGAGAGACAAAGAGAAGAGAGAAAATAATGAGAAGAAGATCTTTATATTATTCTCGCTGCCTTTTTATAGTTGTCACCTCCCCGCCTCCCTACAGCCTCCTTCTACTAATATGATTTTGCTGTCTCTTCCGCATTAAAGCTGAAGCAACAACAGCTGCAGCACTGCAGCAGCAACAGCAACAGCTGCAGCAGTGCAGCAGCAACAGCAACAGCAGCAGCAGCAACCGGAACTGCAGCAGCACAAGCAGCAGCAACCGGACCTACAGCCGCAACAGCAGCAGCACAAGCAGCAAGAGCAACAGCAGGAGCAGCAGCAGCAACTGCAGCAGCAACCGGATATACTTAAAACAGTTACTCCTGCAGCAAATATGCATGCACGTACACCTGCCGCAGCAAATATGCATGCAAATATAAATGATTTCGCTGCTTAAGACAGTCAAATGCATGCAAAGTCTTCTGTTAAGGGAGTACTTGGAGTGTGTTCATTAGAAAGTATTTAAATTGTTTATTTTAATTCATTTCCTTCGAGCAAACGAAACAGTATTTAAATGTTTGAGAACAATTGAGGCATGTATTTAAAATAAAACATTTAAATACCTAAATTAAACTATTTAATTAAAATAAAACATTTAAATACTTTAATTAAAGTATTTAATAAAAATATAAAGCATTAAAAAGAAGACCTCTGAATAGAGCAGCGACACCGAAATCTGCAGCGGGATGAAGGAGCGAGAAAAATTGTTTAAAAATAAAATAATATTTAAATATTAAAATAAATGTACAATTAATTAATTAATTAATTGAATTATTATAAATAATAAATAGACTCAGAGTTTTCTTATAACACCCGCACAGGTCGTATGGTTCTGCTGCTTTTGCAGCGCTGCAGGCCGCTGCTGCTGCTGCTGCTGCTGTTGCGGCTGTTGCAGCTGCTGCAGCTGCTGCTGCTGCAGTCGGTTGCAGTGTTTTATCGTATTATTTTAAATGATTGTCTATTGCTTTTTGTTTTCTTTATCTGAATTCAAGCTGTATTTCCTGTCGCAGCAACAACCCTAACAACACTCTCCTCAGCAGCAAGGGGCCCCTAGCAGCTGCTAGCAGGAAGAACGGAGGGGCTCATACTCCGCTTATCTTATCTTTTTCTTATTTTTCTATCTTAATAATAATAATGATGCTTTCAGAGGTTGAGTCGTGGGTAGCTGATGATTCAGACATGCCAGAGGTAGATTTAGGCCCTCCAACAGACAGGGGCCCCCCTGAGGGGGGCCCCTGGGGGCCCCCTGAACCCTCTTTAGGGGGCCCCCCGAGGGGCCCCCCAGGAGCTGCTGTTGACCTTGACGACTTCCTTAGGGACTACGATGCCTCTCAGCAGTCTGTTTGGTCTACAGAGGCAGACCTTGATATCTCTCCTGTACTACCTTCTATGCATGGGGAAGCAGCAGCAGCAACAGCAGCAGCAGCAGCAGCAACAGCAGCAGCAGCAGAAGCAGCAGCAGCAAGAACGGCAGCAACAGAAGCAGCAGCAGCAAGCGCTGGATCAACCTCAGGGACTGCATCAACAACAGCAGCAAACCGAGACAAATCCTGCTGGCCGCTGCTGCAGCGTGAGGGTTTCTCTAATAGCTCTTCTATCAGAACCTCTGCGGGGGGCCCCTCAGGGGGCCCCCCCGAGACGTTTACACAGGGGCCCCCTCACCGTTGGGCCCCTACAGGGCTGAGCTGCTGCAAGAAGCTGTCGTTCAACTGGGAAGGAGGTCTAGGGCCCCTTCACTGCGCCAAACGTTTACTAAATGGTTCTTTCTTTGGGGGGACATTCCGCGGTGCATGCAGGGACTTGTATTCATCTGCGTCTTTGTCTTATTTGTTTGTCTTTGTCTTGTTTATTAACGCCTGGGTCCTTCTCCGCTGGCTCTCTCGTTCACCAGTAGATAGGCCTCTTGTTGCTGCAGAGGTTTTTGTCTCCTTTATGCTTATCTTTGAGGTGTCTCTTCGCTCTCTTGTACTCGTAAGCAAAGGCAAAACACAATAAAACTATTAATTAGGCGTTTATGTATATGCTTATATATGTAATATAATGTAGCATATAAATATATATGTATATATATTATATATTATATATACAATACATATATTATTATATTATATATATAATATATAATATATATACATATATATATGATTATATATATATTATGCACAAGTAGTATGTACAAGATATATATATACAATATACAATAAATATTTATATTTTTACATATATGTTATATGTTATCTATATAGTATATATAATATATACAGCACATATAATAAATAATTCAAAGCATACAACGGCATTGTTTATTGTAGCACTTTCCTTTCCTACGAATTATTTACACATCGCTTAATTATCATACCTATCTGCATGCCCTGATTAATATATGTTTATTAATGTTTATATATTTCTATATGTATTATTTATATACAAGCTGAATTTTTATTTGTATATACTTGTTTTTTATTCTAAGAGGGTCTTTTAGGGCCCCCCTGGGGGCCCTTGGGGGCCCCCGTAGGGGCCCTTGAAGGCCCCCCTAGGGGCCTTTTAGGGCCCCCCTAAGGGCCTTTTAAGGCCCTTTTAGGGGCCTTACTCGGGGTCCTTTTGGGGTTATGTTGGGGTGTCTTTTGCCTGTTCTTTGGAGGGCTGATGGTTTTTCTAAAGGGCCTTTTTCTATGCGGTGGGGTTGTTGTGATGGTGCTGCCTCCCTGCACATGTGCTGCAACTTCTGCTTCTTTTTCTTCATGTCTCACCCGCTGCTGCAGCTGCTGCTGCTGCTGCTGTTGCTGCACAGGGGCCTGCCTGCTTCTCATCCAGTGCGCATATCTTCGACTGCACCATCACTACACTTTCGGTGGTTTTGTTTCTCAACAGCGGTGATATCAACGTCTTGTTTAGGGGCCCCCCTGGGGGGCCCCCCGGGGGCCCCCGGGGGCCCCGTACTCCTACGGATGCCCCCGATGACTTTCTGCGAGAGCTGTTAACTGCGCTGCGAATTTTAACTCAAGTTGTGCGGCTGGTGCCGCTAGCGATGCACCAAAGACGAGCAAAGGTGAGCAGAAAAGCAATTGGCCTCGGAAACACCAGCACGGGGGCCCCAGGGGCCCCCGGGGGCCCCATAACACAAACGCAGGGGCCCCTGGGGGCCCCTTAGTGGCAATGCAAGGGCCACTAGGGGCCCCTAGGGGCCTGGGGGCCCCTTAACAGCAATGCAAGGACCCCTTGGGGGCCCCGAGAAGGGTGCAAGAGCGCTCATGGGGACAGGGAAGGGGCCTGAAGGGGGCCTCAAGGGGGCCCCAAGGAGGTTGAAGGAGGCCCCTAAGGGTCTAAGGGGTTTACGCATCACCATTACGCATACTAGCAGCAGATCTTTAGGGTAGCATGCATTAGGAGACAGGTGAAGATAGGAGGCGAAGAGACATTCTATTGCGTGCAGCATGAGGTGTACAGACAGACCATCCATCCAGCTGCGCTGGCAATGCTGCCGCTTCTGCTGCTGCTGTTGCTGCTGCTGCTGCTGCTGTCTGTGCTGCAGCTTCCCCGCGACGGGGTCGACTTCTCCCGTTTGGATTCGCACGATGACCTTTAAGAGTTTCTCTCAGTTTTCTATGGTTGTTGAGTACTCCTAAGGAAGTTATAAACAGAAAATACCTTTTTATGCGCATGCAGCAAGGGCTAGGGGGGCCCCAAAGGCAGCGTAGCAGGGGGCCCCCAACCCTCCAAGTGTCGCTCCAGCCCTCTTGCATCCTTTAGAAAGGGCCCCTACTATTTACGGGTTTGCCGGGGCCCTTCTGGGGGCCCCAGCAGACGGGGGTATTTGCAAGGATCAGACAACCTTTGGGGGGCCCCTCTTGGGGCTTGCGGGGTCTGTTTAAGGCGACTGTTGTCCCTCTGTTCATTGATATATATATATATATATATATATATATATATATTTTATTTATATATATTTTAGGGTCTCGGTCAATTGGCATTTA